CTTATGACTATTTGCGTTTTCTCCAGTCTTAGAATCACAGCAGTGTGGTAAATAAGCTAGCGTGCATATTATTTTACATACATGCAGACATAACTGCTGGATACATTTCCACAAGTAGGATTGTTGAGTCACTGGGCAGTGTGTTTATAATGCTGGTAAATGTTCCCCTCCTTCAATCTGGTGCTATTTTGAACTCTTACAGTTGTTTAAAGATTTGTTTTTATTTATTTGAAAGAGTTACAGAGAGAGGTTGTCCATCCATTGTTTCACTCCCCAAGTGGTTGCAATGGCCAGAGCTTGAGCTGACCTGAAGCCAGGAGCAAGGAGCTTCTTCAGAGTCTCCCACGTAGGTGCAGGGGCCCAAGGCCTTGGGTCATTTTCTGCTGCTTTCCCAGGCACATTAGCAGGGAATTGGATTGGAAGTAGAGCAGCCGGCACTCAAATTGGAGCCCATATGGGATGCTGGCACCAGAGGCTGGGGCTTTAACCCACTGTACTACAGCACTGGCTCCCATGTAAATAGTTTTTAAATGTACTATTTAGGAATATTGACAAGAGTCTGTATGTGTTCAGTGCACACACATTGTTTCCTCTGCTGTTTTTGACCCACAGTTGGTTGAATTCTGGGCCACAGAGCCGTTGGGGATGGAGAGCCTGCCGCAGTGTAGGAGAGTACCTGTGTCTCCGTAACGTCTGGGGAAGCATGGTTACCAGTCTGTGGATTTGTGTATCAGTGTGGTAGCTGAGAAGTGCTACCACAGTGTGGTTTTAATGTGCATTGGTTTCGTTATGAATGCGGCTGAGCATCTTGTCATGTGTGTAAAGGCTAGATGTGTTTCTTTTTCTGTGAACTGTCTGTTCATGCCCTTTACACATATTTCTCTTTGGTTGCTTTCTTACTGGTTCCTCAGATTTTACAAATTAGTCTATGATATGAGTTTCAGTGAACCTTGCTTTATTGCTTTTTAAGTTTACTGTAATATATTTTGATAAAACAGAAGGCTTACATTTTTTTCTTTAAATTTTACATAGTTAACCTTTTATGTGTCTGGATTTTGACTCACTTAAAGGCCTCCAAGAGTTTTTGGATTTCGCTTGTGTTTTCTTTCATTGTCTTTGATGGTTTCAATTTTACATCTCAGTTTCTGATCAGAGTTGAATGTGTAGAATCAACTTTATTTTTTTCTATATGTTTACTAGTTATCTCTCTCTTTTTTTTTCTTAAGATTTTATTTATTTGGTTGAGAGGTAGAGTCCTGGACAGAGAGAGGGAGAGACAGAGAGAAAGGTCTTCCATCTACTAGTTCACTCCCAAAGTGGCTGCAACAGCCGGAGCTGGGCGGATCCAAAGGCAGGAGCCAGGAGCTTCTTCCAGGTCTCCCACGTGGGTACAGGGGCTCAAGCACTTGGACCATCTTCTACTGCTTTCCCAGGCCATTAGCAGACAGCTGGACTCTAAGAGGAGTAGTGGGACAGGAACTGACACCCATATGGGATGCCAGTGCCTCAGGCAGAGGCTTAGCCTGATACCATAGCACCAGCCCTGGTTACTAGTTATCTTTGCACATTTGTTTCAGGCCTCATCTTTGTATACATGGTTACTGTATGTGAGTGTCTGGGTGTGTTGACCTTGGAACTGACTGTTCCATCAGTCTGTCTACCTGTTTGACAGTGCCACATTATTGGTTTCATAAAATGTTTTAATATCTTTTTTTTTTTTTTTTTTTTGGACAGGCAGAGTGGACAGTGAGAGAGAGAGACAGAAAGGTCTTCCTTTTGCCGTTGGTTCACCCTCCAATGGCCGCTATGGCCGGCATGCTGCGGCCGGCGTACCGCGCTAATCCGAAGCCAGGAGCCAGGTGCTTCTCCTGGTCTCTCATGCGGGTGCAGGGCCCAAGCACTTGGGCCATCCTCTGCTGCCCTCCCGGGCCACAGCAGAGAGCTGGACTGGAAGAGAGGCAACCCGGACAGAATCCGGCACCCCGACTGGGACTAGAACCCGGTGTGCCGGCGCCACAAGGCAGAGGATTAGCCTAGTGAGCCATGGCGCTGGCCTGTTTTATTAGATTGAGATCATGGTAAATTTATAAACTTGAAATCTATTTGACTTCTCCAAGCCTCAGTTTCCTAATATGTAAAAGGAACAATACTGTCTTTTTAAATAAGAATGTTGGAAAGATTAAAAGAGAAAGCCTGTGACACTCAAGATTAAGTTCCTGTTGCACCACTCCCACCAACAAATGTTAAGGTTGCTCTTAGCGCTTTTCTACTCTTAGCCCTGTCACGTTTAAATGAGAAAGAAGAAAGCCGTGGAGGAAAAAACAAGAAAGAGATATTCAAACTGAAGTTAAAACTAAGCTCCTACTCAATTTGAGCAGGATAATCAAAGCGTTTGAGAACAGAGGACAAACTCAGTCTGGCATTCAAGGCCCTTTCGGATTTTGTAGCTTTGCTGCTGGTTGCTCGCCTGGGTCCTCGCATCCCAACAAGGACGCTGCTTACGTTCCCAGAGGCCTCCTTTTCCTGTGACACCATCCCTCCTACTGAGAATGTTCTGCCAGTTCAGCTGACTGCTGCCCCCACTACAGTAAAACACGGTATCTGTTTCCTCAGACAGCTTCTCTGTAGCTGGGCTTTAGTAGACTGGAGGCTCTGTGAGGAGACAGCCTGTCATCTTGTGCAATAAAGAATGTCTAGTATCATCAAAACACCAAACAATACTCATTCAGGTAATTGTCAAGGAAGTGGATGAATAATTGACTTTGGTCTTGGTTTTGTATTCTGCAAGGGTACTTCAAAGTGTTCATGGAAAATGGAATTAAAAGATAAGCTTATTGGCTGGCGCCCTGGCGCAGTAGGTTAATCCTCCACCTGCGGCGCTGGCATTCCATATGGGCGCCAGTTCTAGTCCTGGCTGTTCCTCTTCCAGTCCAGCTCTCTACTGTGGCCTAGGAGAGCAGTAGAAGATGGCCCAAGTCCTTGGACCCCTGCATCCACGTGGGAGACCTGGAAGAAGCTCTTGGCTCCTGGGTTCAGATCGGCGCAGCTCTGGCTGTTGTGGCCATTTAGGGGGTGAACCAACAGATAGAAAGCCTTTCTGTCTCTCCCTCTCACTGTCTGTAACTCTACCTCTCAAATATAATCTTTTATTATTATTATTATTTTGACAGGCAGAGTTAGAGAGACAGAGTGAAAGGTCTTTCCGTTAGTTCACCCCCCAAATGGCTGCTACGACTGGCGCACTGCGCTGATCTGAAGCCAGGAGCAAGGTCCCCCTTCCTGGTCTCCCATGCGGGTGCAGGGCCCAAGGACTTTGGGCCATCCTCCACTGCCCTCCCGGGCCACAGCAGAGAGCTGGACTGGAAGAGGGGCAACCAGGACAGAATCCGGCGCCCCAACTGGGACTAGAACCTGGTGTGCTGGCGCCGCAGGTGGAAGATTATCCTAGTGAGCCGTGGTGCCAGCCAATAAAACCTTAAATAAGCCTATTTTGTTGCAAAAAATTTTGAAATTCATATGTAGTTTTTTGTAATAGGCATTTTCCTGAATTTTTGGTGACCTGTTATGTACATGGACTTGAATTTTTTTCACCCAAATAAACTTAAATTTTAATTCAAGTTTACGTGAACTTTTTAAAGTATGGTTGTATTAAATGTCTGGGTAACTCTTAACGCACCTAGTACAGTGTAAGCCTGTGGAAGATAAGGACCATGCCCTTTTTGATGAGAGTAGTAGGTATCATAAATAATGGTGCCAGTGGAGGTGGTGAGAAGCAAGTTGTTTTTTTTTTTTTTTTTTTTTTTTTTTTGGTACTAAGAGCCCAGAGCAGTTGTTTGGCACAGTGGTTGTCCCATATTGGAATGCCTGGGTTTGAGTAGCTCCGTGACTCCACGGCTCCACTTTGGATTCCAGCTTCCTACTAGTGGGTACCTGGGAGACAGTAGGTAATGCTAATACTTGGATTTCTATTTCCCTCTTGGAAGACCTGGGTTGAGCCTGGGCTCTTGGCTTTGACCTGACCCATTCCCACCTCTTGAGAGCACTTGGGGAGTGAACTGGCACATGGAAAATCCCTGCCTGTGTCTCTCTGCCTTTTAAAGAAACAAATAGAAATTTTTAAAGTTCATGGGAAATTAAAAGATATTTATTTACAAACCTTGTGGGGGCCAGCACTGTGGCGCAGTGAGTTAACGCCCTGGCCTGAAGAGCCGGCATCCTTTTTGGATGCTGGTTCGAGACCCGGCTGCTCCATTTCCCACCTAGCTCTCTGCTGTGGCCTGGGGAAGCAGTAGAAGATGGCCCAAGTCTTTGGGCCTCTGCACCTGGGTGGGAAACCCGGAAGAAGCTCCTGGCTCCTGGATTCGGATCGGCGCAGCTCCGGGTGTTGCGGCCAATTGGGGAGTGATCAGCAGATGGAAGACCTCTCTCTTTCTCTCTCTCTGCCTCTCCTCTCTCTGTGTAACTCTGACTTTGAAATAAATAAATAAATCTTTAAAAAAAAAAAAGCCTTGTGTTTCTACTACCACTGATGTACATTTACTGAACATTTGTTCTATCCCAGGCATGCTTTAGAATCCTTGATATGGATTATCTCATACAGTCCTTAGCAGTCTTGTTGGTTGGGTACTGTTAGTCTGCACGGGGGACACAGGCACACTGAGGAGGGGTGGCTTGCCCAAGGTCACAGCCAGGAGTTGGTCGAGCTGGGTTTTAATTGCAGATGCCCTGAGTTCAACCTCAACTCCTTAACCTGCTACCATGTTCCAGGCTTGTTTGTTGAATGTGGTCATTTATAGGTCTTTGCACAGTTGGGGAAAAGTTCTTATTACACTTTCAACTTTGTTCTTTCCTTCTCAACCGTCCCACTTTGGTGATTTCTCTTTTGTTCTTTGGATTTATCTTGGACTTCACGTCTGCAGGAAGATTTCCCTGACACCCTTTTGCTGATATGTGGTAGATGCTCAGTAAAAAGTAATGTATGTATTTATTTATTTTTTTAGGTTTATAATAAAGGTGCTAAGGAGGAGAATGTAAGACAAAAATAATTAAATATTTCACAGAGGTAAGTGTTTTATGATTTAATTTTTTGAAAGAAACTTTTTTCTTTTCAAAAATTCCTCTTTGCAGCCTGCTTTCTTTACAGTAGAGACTGTCTTAGGAGTATTTTAAGTTCCTAGAACCTCAGATATTTGACATGCATGCCTGGTGTGTGAACTGTTTGAATAAGTTCATTCAGCTTCTCCTGCCTCTTTGAATATAAGCTTTAAATTCTCATCATTTCATTGATGAGAACGTGGTGCTAAGCAGGAGATCTGGCAGGTGGAAACCCATTTGCTGGTTGTCTGTATTTGTAACAGTCAGTGAATACTTCCTTTTTGAAATGGGGAGAATTTAAAGTCACTTTTGGTGAGACAGCAACGCTTCCTTTTCTTCAAATAAAAATTTGTTGAGTTTTCTGATGACTGTTTTCTTATGTTGGGTTTTCTTTTTATAATAATGGGAAAACTTATCAGTATAAAGCAATGTAATGATAAAAGCAAGCCCCTAACCCATACCATCAGGAAACGACTGCCATTACTATTTTGATGAATATACTTCTAGAAATTTATGGATACAGAAGAATTAATACACAGCATTTTAAATAATTGGTCTATATATACTATATATGGTGATCTTTTGAAAAAATGTTCCTTAGTTTTCTACTTGGGAATTTGAAAAGATGCGCATACATGAGAGTCACTGATGGCATCATATTCATTGTTTAGCAACACTGTGCCTTATTTTCTCCTTTGATAACCATTTAGTTGTCTCAGTTTTCTTTCTTGTGAATAATGGTATGTTGATATTGTACACTTGTTCATATATCTTAAAAGTAAAACTGCTGGATCAAATATTAGACATATTTTAATCTTCATAAATTATTATTTATTGGAGAGAGAGAGGGAGAGCATTCCTGTCCACTAGTTCATTCCACAAATGCCCTCAACAGGTAGGGCTGGGCCAGGCAGAAGCTAAGAGCTTAGAACTCAGTGTGCTCTCCTCCTCTGCCTGAGTCGTCATCTGCTGTCTCTCATGGCGCGCTCAGCAGGAAGCTGGATTAGAAGCAAGAGTAGCTGAGACTCAACCCAGGCACTCTGATACGGGATGTGGGACACATTTTAAATGTTGCTAAGTGTTAATTAACCTGTTTCTGTAGAGACTACCAGTGTATACCCCTACCCAAAGTTCATGACAGTCCTGTTTGTCTTGCCCTTGCCTGTGCTGGGTTGTTAATCTTTTTCATCTTTGCCAATTCTGTAGAAGAAAAGCAACAGTATCCTTCTGAGATAGCCTTTTTATTTTTATTTTATTGGAATAAACCTTTCATCTTTCAAAGACTTGTTTTTACTAACATGAAGGTACTTGTTGGTAACATACTTGTGGTCGTCAAGTGAGACAATATTGGACTTTAAATGTACTGAAAATTTTTAAAATATGTTGAGTTCTTTGTTTTTAGGTCTCTGACCAATTTTTATTCATTAACTTACTGAATTAGTTTGAATATTAAGTTTTCTTCTATAGAGAGCAACACCTTTGTTTTCTAATTCACTTACAGGGGAGCTTGAAGCATTCAAAGCAAATTTCTTAAAGCTTTCAACTTGGATATGCATTGCAGATTAGTGTGTAGAATTTGCTAACTTGGGTAACAGTGCAATACTACTGAGTTATGTGGATCATGTGACTATACATTCACCTGTAAACCAATGTATATTTGAGTTTCTTCTGCCTAAGGGATTTTTACCAGTTTCATTTATCTGATTGGTATCTAATTTTATGTTTGCTTTAGATTTCGTTTCAATTAAGGAAGGTCTCACATGAAACTAATATCAGCTTTGTCATTGATCTATTATTTGTTCTTTGAGTTAATAAGTCAGATGTCAACTGTTTTTCCTAGATATCAAATGCATATTCATATAGATTGCCCTTCATGTAGGTGCTTTTCTTTCCACCCCAGGTTAATATAGTTGACTGAACAGTGAGTTGGGGACCACATGGTCCAACTGGTGTTTACATCAAGTCCAGGCCGGCGCCGCGGCTCAATAGGCTAATCCTCCACCTTGCGGCGCCGGCACACTGGGTTCTAGTCCTGGTCGGGGAGCCGGATTCTTTCCCGGTTTCCGCTCTTCCAGGCCAGCTCTCTGCTGTGGCCCGGGAAGGCAGTGGAGGATGGCCCAAGTGCTTGGGCCCTGCACCCCATGGGAGACCAGGAGGAAGCACCTGGCTCCTGGCTTCGGATTAGCGCCATGGGCCGGCCGCAGCGCGCCAGCCGTGGCGGCCATTGGAGGGTGAACCAACAGCAAAAGGAAGACCTTTCTCTCTGTCTCTCTCTCTCACTGTCCACTCTGCCTGTCAAAAAAAAAAAAAAAAAAATCAAGTCCAGACTTGGCAGACACCCAGATGGTTTCTGAAAGAGTTAACAGTTGATATTATTGTTGATATTAAGGTGTAAAGAAGAAATGCCTTGAATTTTAATTCGGAAAATAAAACTAGCATTTGTGCTTTTTTATATGTACCTAAATTGAGACATACATAATTGTAGTGACACTTGATACTGTAACATTTTGTGGCATTTTGTTTGGAATTTTGATTTAGACTGTATCTCACTGATTTTCAAAATCATACATACTACCGTGTTTTAAATACACTTATTTATTTGTTTGCTTGTTGGTAGGGGCAAAGTAAGTATCTAACCTAGGTAGAATATTCAGTTTATTAAAGAATCCTTTGTTTAGGCCTGGGGATATTCTTCAAAGGTATTATTATTATTATTATTATTATTTGAGGACAAGGATATAGTGAATGCTCCCAATTATACTTTTCGTTATAATGGAGAGAAAATGAGTTATGCTTTAATTGTATGGCTCAGCATTTAGTTTTAAAAAGTAGGGAAATAGATTGCCAGCCATCGTGAGGAATGTATAAAATTTTGTCCAGGGGCCGGTGTTGTGGAGTAGTAAATTAAGCCTCTGCCTAGAGTGCCAGCATCCCTAGGGTGTGGGTGCTGGCTTGTGTTCTGGCTGCTCCTCTTTTGATCCAGCTCTCTGCTGATGGCCTGGGAAAGCAGTGGAAGATGGCCCAAGTTCTTGGGCCCTGGCACCCACGTGGGAGACCTGGAGGAAGCTCCTGGCTCCTGGCTTCTCATCAGCCCAGTCCTGGCTGTCGCGACCATTTGGGGAGTGAACCAGCGGATGGAAGACCTTTCTCTCTCCCTCTGTCTGTAACTCTCTCTGAAATAAATAAATAAAATCTTTAGAAAAATCTCTGTATCTTTGTTCAATGTCTTGCCTATTAAAAGCTTTCCTGTTTCCTAAACTAGTGTTCACAGCAAAAATAAGCAGAGAGGACGGAGCCCTTACATAACAGATTTAAGCACTGTTTGATCTCTTGTTTTATATGCTTTGTTTCCTCTGGAATATGGGATTCTAAAGAATGGATGAATGAGTTTTAATTAGTATTTTTTTAAACTTTTATTTAATAAATATAAATTTCCAAAGTACAGCTTTTGGATTACAGTGGCTTTTCCCCCATAACCTCCCTCCCACCCACAACCCTCCCCTCTCCCGGTCCCTCTCCCATTCCATTCACATCAAGATTGATTTTCAATTATTTTTATATACAGAAGATCAATTTATTATATACTAAGTAAAGATTTCAACAGTTTGCACTCACACAGATACACAAAGTATAAAGTACTGTTTGAGTACTAGTTATAGTGTTAATTCACATAGTACAACACATTAAGGACAGAGATCCTACATGGGGAGTAAGTGCACAGTGACTCCTGTTGTTGATTTAACAACTGACACTCTATTTATGGCGTCAGTAATCACCCTAGGCTCTTGTCATGAGTTGCCAAGGCTATGGAAGCCTTCTGAGTTTGCCAACTCCGATCTTATTTAGACAAGGCCATAGTCAAAGTGGAAGTTCTCTCCTCCCTTCAGAGAAAGGTACTTCCTTGGTGGCTCATTCTTTCCAGTGGGATCTCACTCAGAGATCTTTCATTTAGGGTTTTTTTTTTTTTTTTTTTTTTTTGGCCAGAGTGTCTTGGCTTTCCATGCCTGAAATACTCTCATGGGTTTTTTAGCCAGATCTGAATGCCTTAAGGGCTGATTCTGAGGCCAGAGTACTGTTTAGGACATCTGCCATTCTATGAGTCTGCTGTGTATCCCGCTTCCCATGTTGGATCGTTCTCTCCTTTTTAATTCTATCAGTTATTATTAGCAGACATTAGTCTTGTTTATGTGACCCCTTTGACTCTTAACCCTATCATTATGATCAATTATGAACTGAAACTGATCACTTGGACTAGTGAGATGGCATTGGTACATGCCACCTTGATGGGATTGAATTGGAATTCCCTGGCACGTTTCTAACTCTACCGTTTGGGGCAAGTCCTATTGAGCATGTGCCGAACTGTACATCTCTTCCCTCTTTTATTCCCACTCTTATATTTAACAGGGATCACTTTTCAGTTAAATTTAAACACCTAAGAATAATTGTGTGTTAATTAAATAGTACAACCAATAGTATTAAGTAGAACAAAAAATATTAAAAGGGATAAAGTATTAAGTTGTTCATTGACAGTCAGGATAAGGGCTGATCAAGTCATTATTTCTTTAGTATTTTAGCAGCAGTTTTTTGTATGTAATATTTTTAATTGATTAAACAATCCTTTAGCAACAACTTTTGCACTTTAATTTGCTTAACTCTTTCTTAATGAGTAGTCCAAGGTTAAACCTAGGCAGAATTAAAATTATAGTCTCTGTTAATAAGGCTTTAAATTAGGTTTTTCTGGACTTTTCCCTTTTCTATCTCATTGTGGCAGTGGTATAATCTTGTACTGTTTTCTAAAATAACCAAAGTTTCGGGTTCTTGAATCTTTTTTTTTGTGGCTGTGGAGGAATTTGCTTGTATGGTAGCTTTCATTTTACTGATGAGTTAATTTCTTTAATTGCATGATTTAAGACCTTGATTCTAAAGATGCTGCTTGAGAGTGAAGAAATACTAGTAGTTAAGCAAAAG